TATATATATACTGAAGAACCCCGCGTTGCTGGGGTATTTATCACATTTTGTTTTATTAACAGAAAGGGGAATTCCATCTATTCATGCCGTATGGCAGAGCATACTTCTATCTATTCTATTGAATCTCCTCTCCCCCCTTCTCCGCGTCTCTCTGCCTTGCTTCAACCTGGAAATGCCCGAATATTCCACTCTCACTAAAAAATATTTAAATTTTATTCCTATTAGGGTTCCCGCCCCCAAACTTCCATCACTTTATAACTGAAAATAATGAACAAATCTATAGAAAAAAACTAAAATCCATGTTCTCACGTATATTCTTTTTGTGGAATTTTGTCTATTGTATCAATACTTTCGATCAATTTCCACATTATAACTTATTCTTCATATTTTTTTCTTCTCGCATATTTATAAAGAAAAAGTTGAAATTCATCTTGCTACGTCAAGCGACGTTTAAAAATAATTAAAGTTATTTTAATTGAATTCGGGTACGAGTTTTAGTGTCCTTGATAAATAATAGCTGACGGAAAGGAGCTAATAATCACTTAGTTATAATATCTCAAAAAATCCGAGATCACAATGGATCCCGAATTGACAACACTTTTTCTATTATCTAAAATAATAACCTTGAAAACCAATATTGTCACATACTCAATTCCTCCAAATACCCAAATACCAATACTGTTTTACTTTAATTATACTGCCGTTTTAATATTAATTATGTTCTTGCTGAACTTTCATCAATTTAATCATTTCTTCAACACCCAAAAGTACACTTACACTCTCCACTATATTAAAATATATCTCTATAAAAACGCCCCCTCCCGTCAGTTTCAGTTTCATTCATATGTTATCACTCTCACTGTCGCTCGCCCAATTTGCAAATACGTAGTAGAGAGGTTTTGCAAGTCGTGGATTTGAAAGACGTAACACGACAGTTATAGGAAGAATTTGTACTGCGCATGTACCGGCATCAAATGACGGGATTTCAATTGACGGATCCCGTCATTCTCCCTGTTTTGTCGTCTAAGACATATTTACACTTTACGTAATTTTCGGTGTCACCACTAAACCGATATGACATCTAACTAACTAACACTAACGCATAATGAGCATGGAAGAAATGATAAATGCAATATCCATAGCATTAGTATAGTATAGCAAGAACATAATGGTTAATATTTCTCGAGTTACTTCAAATATCTCAGGAATAACTTTCCTATTGACGGCAGTGTTTACGTACTACGAAAATGGATTTCCCGTCTAATGTACTTAATTTACTACAACTAAAAATGTGTGCATTCGTCGTCAATATTAACTACATCTGTCAGAAAATGATCTCTAACAAACACTTCGGCTCTTGTACACTTACGGCACGCACGCCTACATGCAATTAAAATCAATATACAAGTTACTTTTGTAAAGAAAGCGGAGAAAAACTCAGAATTATTTCCGATTAGACAGTTGACGAAAATATACAAACAGTCCTCTAAATACGCAATAATGTTCCTTGATGAAACCTGTAGGAGATCTCAGACGTTATCTCATGTGGCGCACAGCTAAACTATTGACAATGATGCACACTTGATTCTGTGATGTAAAGCCAGACGAAAAATGACAAGAATAGTAATTATTTTGTAAATATATTAAGGTTTATGGTTATAAATCATAGCATATAGCACTCCAGGGGTTAAAAAGAAGCTATCACAAGAGTTTCAGCGCTAGTGGTACAGTAGATTTAGAGATTATCGCGCTGTAACTAAACGCGCTTCTGTCTTTATATATTAGTATAGATCCACACACAAATGTTTCGGAATAAATGATACAAGTCTCAAAGGCAAATAGTGATCGAAGATTATTAATTTTTACGAATGAACATGTGATGTAAATACAAGGACGTTCACATGAGATATTTACTTCTGGTTGGTACGCAACTCAACAAGCATTGATGTTCAGAAAGGACACGAAATTCCTTTGGCTGCGTTACGTGACCTGCTAAACCTCAATGCATGATGGGTTGCTTCTCAATCAGGGGCTTATGTACACACACACACACACACACACACACACACACACACACA